AAAAGTAAGACTCGATATCTATTCCAGTATCCTAGTCTAGTTTCGTATCAAGCGGTCACCATAGCTGGTAAATTGTCGCAACTGACATGGACCTCTGTGGAAATGGCACCAGTGGGTGCAGGGGGGGGTGCAGACAGACAGACAGACAGACAGACAGACAGACAGACAGACAGACAGACAGACAGACAAATCGAATCTGAGAAAGGACGTGCAGTCCAAAGATTTCCGTTGTATGAGTAAAAATTCAAAGAAAGTAGATAAAAAGCCGGTTTGTGTTTACTGCAAGAAGTTTACTTTTAATCTCCTTGGTTTACTGACAAAATGCACTAGTTCACGATCGTTAAAAAGTAGAAATCTCCTTTGTTCCAGGCTACGGAGGACAACTTTAAACCCTGGAATTCAGATAACGCCGGCTTGTATGACCCTATTAAAAACTGCCCTGACACGCACACACGAATTAAAGTAATAGAGCAAGCTCGTCTGAGTCTTGATCCAATGCAGTTTATCGAAGTTTGTGCCAGGTCACTGCGCTCAGCATGACTGAGTTGTTCATTTCACTTTGTTTTAGAATGTCATTAACTGGGCTCCACTTGTTTTAATTTTTGCAAATTCGTCAGTTAGCATTTAGCATAAAAGGAGCATGGTCTCGTATTTCGTATAAAAGAAAGAGACGGCAAAGAGAAAAAGGGATCTCAAGATAAAGTTAGCACAATGAACGCCACAATGTCAAGAGAAGAAACAGAGAGTTTGCAATAAACGCCCAAACGCCGTTTTAGCGTCTGGGAAAGAGCAAGATCCTCTGGTGCACTCAAGTACACTGTTTGCTTTTTTATGTCACTCGGTGCATGGTGTTTCAAAGGAGAAAGGGCTTTCATATTCTCGACAGATTCCTTTGCACCTGTTTCAAAGAGCGTTGTTAAAAAAGATACATTCATAATTTATTATGTCAACTGAATTAAACTGGGAGTGGTTTGATTTACGCTGGCCGTTCATGTGCCTGTGTGAGCACATGTGGGGAAGCGCTCCTTATTGTTAGTGAATGTCTATAAGAGTCTAGATGTCTGTATTTTACCCCTTTTCTCTCTCTCTCTTCTCTCTCTCTCTCTCTCTCTCTCTCTCTCTCTTCCAATCTCTCTCTCACACCCACCCACCCCGCACAAACAGCCACCCCCCTACACACATACACACACTGCTCATCATTCTCTCTCGCCTAACATTTTTTTTATCTCTCTTTCTCTTTTATCATTATCTTGAGTGTGCTTGTGTTTGTGTGTCTTTGTTTGTCTGTGTGTATATCTGCCTGTCTACGGTTGAGTGTGTAAACGCTAGTAAGAACTGAACAAAGAAAAAAGTGCCCCCTTCGGGTATGACAGTGGACTAAAAATATTTAGGAATATGCAAGGGTTAATATCTGATTCCATGACACGTTCTGTTAAGTATTATAATATTATGTGTCACGACACGGCAGAATCTAGCGCTCTTTAATTTGTGGGCGTATTGAGTGAATGGTGTCGTCTGAGAGAACAGTCATTTATCTTGGTTTTGATTTTTTTGAAATTCCAATCTATCTTGAACAGAAGTCGAGATATTTGCGACTGGAGGATGATGGGGGAGGAGGGGGGTTGGTTGTCTTGTGTCAAAGTCAATTAATAAGCTAGAAAAGGACGCCAAAGTCTGTGACTTCTAAAAGTTAAAGTGTCCATGGAGACTGAAAATTTGCCTTATTTTGAAGAGCGCCTTCTTTCACCACAATGAAAAGCATATTATGCTAACAACAGATTTAACCTTTGTCTGAAGGAGAGCCTGCTTTTGTAAATTTATCTTGTGGCATCCCATATGTTACAGTGGGGGCATGTAGTAAAGAAAAGACAACCTGGCTGTTCACGCAGCGAGATATTATTGACAATGATTATTGTGAAAGGAATGACACCGACATTTAGGTTCTAATTTGCTGCAGTTTTTCGCTAATTGTGACGGCGCACATATTTCTCTCGAACTGCAGAAAGAATTGTTTGTTGAGACAGAGTGAACCTCGTGTCAGTCCGTGTCAGGTTTCCGGCGTCTGTGGTGGCATTGTTAGGGTCCTCGTTATTCCCTGCAGTAGTCGTGAGTTCGATTTCTGACTAGGGTAATTTATTTAATCTAGTATGTCCATGTTTCAATAACACAAGAATAGACAAGACAAGACAAAACAAGGCAAAACAAGACAAGACAAAACAAGATAAGGTTGATCTCCACATATTTGCTGCGGAAGCTGTATCCCACTCAGTCCGTAGTCCTGAAAAACTCAATAAAAGCTGCCCCTTGCCAAAAAGATCTACATAGATTCTTGGAGCGTGGGACATATTATTTGCAATCATAACAATCTACGACTATGCGTTTGTGTGTGTTTGTGTGTGTCTTTCTGTCTGTTTATGTAAGGGAATATGAAGCTCATTATATAAGAGAGAGAGAGAGAGAGAGAGAGAGAGAGAGAGAGAGAGAGAGAGAGACAGACAGACAGACAGACAGACAGACAGACAGACAGACAGACAGACAGACAGAAAGACAGACAGACAGACAGACAGACAGACAGACAGACAGACTGCGGTAGAGAGACATACAGAAGGAGACAGACAGAGAGTTTTGTATAATAGTAAAATTTTCAGGGCGAAGACCAGTCGGGAAGGGATGCTCTAGCCTATGTAGATACATAATAGGGCACACAATAGAGAGAGAGGGAGAAGGGGGGAGGAGGGAGAGAGAGAAAGTGTGTGTGTGTGTGTGTGTGTGTGTGTGTGTGTGTGTGTGTGTGTGTGTGTGTGTGTTTTGTGTTTGATTCTGTGTGTGTGTGTCTTCGTGTGTGTTTGTTTGTTTGTGTGTGTATGTATGAGTCTGTGTGTGTAGCAGGTAATGAGAAGCTTGCGAGTACATCTATTTCTTCTGTGTATTATGTTTGCAGCTGATGAACTGGTCTTTGTTGTTTTGTTGTTGTTGGATTTTTTTTGGGGGGTGCCCTACGTCAGAAACTAAGAGAAAGAATAATTCCTAATGGGCATAATAAACGTATTTCTTGTTTCATGTTCCTTTCTCTGGCTCACTGTTTTGTTTGCCATTATTTTTGTTGTAAAGATGGGCTTCCAAGAACCAGTGGGGGCACGGTGCTGTGTTGTGTGATTGTACCGTAACAGAGATATGAGTCCATCCGCACACTGATCAGTATTCAGGATATGTCACCTTTCTGGGCCCACCCAACGCATACAGAATCAATGACCAGCCTGATCTGGACAAGACATTCACATTATTCTTGTTAATTTTTTTCTTTTTTTAAAAATCCAGCCATACATCGATCAGGTAGGTCTCAAACTTATTGTTCAGATACGTGTAAAAACTGACACTAACCGCATTCTCTTCTCTTGGTGAAGGCATGGGGTTTTATTTTAATTAACCATTGTTTTAGTAAGATAGGCCTACTAAACCTATACTTCTTTGTCAATGATGATAATAAGCTTGTCTGCAGG